ATAAATAATGTATATGTCTATATATTATAAGATAGTATAATGTAAGTAAATAGATACTATCAGAGTATGTTGAGATCCACTGCAGGTTGTCATAGACCCCTGGGGGTCGATATAGACCACTTTGGGAATCACTGGTCTACATTAAGAGGCCGCAATATTATGCAGTTATTATTTTATTGAAATTTATTCGAATTGAAATTAAAAGAAAAAATTGTTTTGATTAGAATTACTGCGTGGATGATATATATTTCTAATTATTATTATATATTGAACAGACATACTTCAGTCGATAGCCTTTTGATCTAATAAAGACAGAGGTCAATCGGGCAATTGCCCGAGGCCTCGCGAAATAGGGCGCCCCCAAAAAGTGTTAGTTGTGGCGCCATTTGATATTTATGCCGGGTCCTCAAAATCCAAAGGATTTTACGGCTCTGAATAAAGATTATTAACATTATTATATAACTTCAAATTGTGTTTCAAATAATTTCATAATAAATCAGTTTATTTTATATGTTAAAATTGTAAATCTTTGTAAATGTAAAATAGAACATCTAATAGAACTTGAATTTCGATGTACTTGCAATTCTTAATGTGTTACAAAACAATATACGAAATTTGTGCACAACTGAAACTAGAGTTGCATATGTAAAGACATTACATACCTAATATGGGTCTATATCGCAAGTCCGACAAACGAAATACCGTCTATCGAAATCCCGACGTTGGGAATTCCGACGTTCGAAATCCTAACTATATCAAAATCTAGACAACCATAATCTCGACTGTATCAGAATCTCGTCAACCATAATCCCGACTGTATCAAAATCCCGACTATATCAAAAATTTCTAAAATAACATTTTTAAATTATTTCGGAGCGTAGTCACCTGTGCTACATTTTTATTTTTAATAACAATAAATTATTATTAATTTATTTGATTTTGTTGAATTATTCATAATAAACTGTAACATTATGAAATAGTCTCAAATACAATTAGATTTCGATGCAGTCGGTATTTCAAACGTCGGGAATTTGATTGACGGTATTTCGGTTGTCGGACTTGCGATTGTCACCGACCTAATATAGAGATGTTGCATGAATGATTCAATAAAAATACAAATTAAATTACAAAATAGGTAATACATTATTAAATGTTTTAATTTGATTAAGTTATTTTTTATGACATGAAAGTATATAGCTATGTAATAAATATTGCTAAGAATAATACTTAATCAAACAGTATAAATTATGTTTATAAACAATTTAATTAGATTTATTTTATACTATACTATATGTTTTGATCATAAATTATGAAATAATTCATTTCAACTATAATTCAATTATTTTTAATATAATCATCACTTAAACAGAATAGATTGTAAATTGTTGGAATACAGGTATCCCCCGACTTGCGAACTAGTTCCGTTCCAGAGGGTTGTTAGTAAGTCGGGGGAATTTAAAAAAATTCAAAATATACTTATCTTACGGGAGTTCGTTAGTCGAGTGAAACCTTTATTTGAAAATTCGAGATGAAACAAAACAAATAAAAAATTACTATGTAAAATTGTTATATACAAATATAATGTTGTTTTTGTCCAATTTATGTTTGGGCGAAAAACTTCGGTCAACAGTCCTTAGTATATATGTATACAAATATCTTTATTATTCTATATTGTTTAATGAGAAATAAATGTACAACAAAATAAATATGTTCATCTAAAGTAAAGTTAGATTGAGTATAATCTTTAAACATTGTTATATAACTCACTTAAAATTGACAGTTCGATGAGAATTTGTATTAAAAATAAAACGACCACAATACGATATAATTAAATTTCTGCAGAGCTTGGCATTATTGCACATTCATTAAGTTACTGCATTATGTAATAATACACAATAGAACAAAATGGTATAATTAACATTGTAGCATACGTCGTTAAAGCAAAACAATTATTGGTTCCACATTAAATAGGCACTAATTTAAAGAAACAAAAATTATGGAAGTTTAGCATTTCATAGCGTACAACGCAATTTTCGGAAAATCTATAATTAAGTTACGATAATAAGAAATGGAAAATTGAAAAAAAAATAAATCATTACTTTGCATTTGCTTTTGCAGCCTTGGCTTTTCTTAATACCATTTATTAGTTGGTTGTCCGTACAATTTTCGAAATTAGCGGATGAATTTGTTTGGAATAGGAGCAATTGTGATGCTATTGGACAAATGGTTTAAATTGCGTTACCGTTTATCCAATCAAAGCCGCATCTTGCGCTCCGAATGCGGAGAGGGTCAGTGCTTCGAGCTGTGAGGCTTTGTTTGTTTATTTAATCGAAACACAAGAAAACAATTGATTTGTCAAAACAGATTGCACAAAGGAGTGATGCAAAAAGAAAAACTTATGAACTTAGTGTATTGTATGTGCTCGACTGGGTTGGATTTCATTCGGCTTAATTCAATTGAAGTTGAAATTCCGGCCGAGGTACAAGCTTCCACTTCTATTTTAACCTTGCGTTAATATATATATACATTTTTTCTATTTAATGAATAACATTAAGGCTCACTAGCAGCGAGCCTTTCAAAGCCAATTCAGTCTGTTAATAAATGCTGACAAGATGCAATCTCTGAAAAAACTTTTGAACATCGGTAAGTCCAGATTTCATCATTAATTTAACATTTAAAATATATTCTTCGCTTTTTTTTAGGGAACCTGTACATTTTTTTCTACGTTTTCGGCAGCTTTAAAGTAATTATACAAACAGCTTGTAAAATTTAAGCAAATATTAATTTAATCTATTATTTTAGCATTCAAAAGTTTTCGGCCAATTCCATTGGATTGCGCTCCTACCATTAACTTTAATATGCACCGTTTTCATCTGCTTGGTTCTAATCGTTTCAGCGATTTACTACGAGATTGTGGATTTCGTGTTGAGGTTGAAGCATGGGGATGATTATTGTGGTATTATGGATGGATCCGACCTAATTTGGGTCGTCGAACAAGGGAGCGCTTCGTTAATCAACTCGCTTTTCATGATCGATGCCAAAGATGGGGAAGGATGTGAACCTCTTTTTGAATTCATGCTAAACTCATACGAGAAAATCAGCAAAACGCATGAGAAGATGAGCTGCGTTCGAAGATATTTCATGGGTTACGGGTATTTTCTCAAGACGCACATCAACATTCACGAGTACGTGAAGTATTTGGAGGACTACACGGATGTGGAAGGATTGAACTTGCTAATGGATAAGTTGAGTGACTCCCCTTTACCAGCTGGGAATACGGCTTTGTGGGAAGTGTATATTGGAAGGGTTCCTTTAAAGTGGGAAAAGAACGGAGGTAAAGTTCAGTATCCAATTTTCATCAAGTATCATCACAGCCTCGGCGACGGCATCTCAATAGTCACTTTAATGACAACACAGTTAATCGACAATGGTGTCAACATCATGAAAGAAAAGTGCGAAACCTACAGAAACGTCCTTAAAAAGGCGGCTTTAAAAAATTCGAAGCCTACTTTCTTGGAGAATTTAAAGAAAGTGTTCAATAAAAGTTACTACATCACATATTACGGTCCGCTGGATGACAAAGATGAAAACATGTTGCAAGGGAAACGCTTGAGCCACGAAAAGCACGTGTGCTACTCCTTGGAGAAAGATACGACGAATTACGTGGAGAAAGTAAAATCTATCAAGAATCGGATTAAGGGTATCTCATTCAGTGATGTAATCATGTCAGCATTTTCCGCGAGTTGTGCCGACTATTACATGTCTCACGACGAGGTAATGATGCTTGTAATTCGATGAGTCTAGTTTTCAATTCCCATTCCATCTTGCAGAATCCGCCGGAGAAGATTCGTTTCGTAATCCCACATTATTTAGCATCGGCTAACTTCAAAAGCATAGTGACAACTTGTACCAATGGAGAAACCGTTGCAAACTTGAAGAACAACTTCGCATTGGGTTTTCTCAACATACATATAAAGGACAAGGACATCGCCAGGAATATGGTGGACAGATTGGTGCGCGTCAATAAGGATTCGCAAAATTCTAAGGACAGTTTAGATTTCCCGGTGAGTCAGATTTCTCTCTCGTTTCCTTATTTCATTAGATATTGGTGCAATAGAGTATGCACTTGAGACTATAAACAATCCATTCTGGGGCAAAAGGCCAAATGCACTTTCAGTTTATGCAATTGGAGAGGGAAGAAAATAGACGAAGAATCGATTCGCGCTTGCCACGCTTGTTTTCGTTTTATTGTCTTTCTGCAATTCAAATGCATAATTACGTATTTCTCGAGAAACAAAGACAATTACAATGAGCTTATTATTGCAATTAACCAAAAAAATATTCACGTTATTACTCCAACTTGATAACTTTTATATTATAAAATAATTAATAGTAATAACGTTTGCAACAGTCATAAAAATTAAATATAAAGTAATACCTTTTTAAAATTATAATCATAACAATAAAACACCGTTATCGAATTATTATAATGATATACTTTATATAATTATCAATATCAATTGAAATTAAAGATAAATAATGTATATAAACTATTAATAAATATAGTTACAACGAAACCTATATGCAAAGACACATTCAGAAAATATATTTTTATTTTTATTACTCACTGAATATGAATCAAGTAATTTATACATATTACCATATTGAGGTGAAACCTTCTAAAAATATACATACAAAATATCTTTTTTTAGTATTTTTTTTATAGATTTTGATTGTCTATTCAATTGTATTTGTAATTACAGTGGAACCTCGCTTAACGAGCACCTCGCATAACGAGCATTTAAGAAAAATAACTAACGAGCGACGTTTCGCATGAGTTACATCATGAAGAGAAGCTTAAAACTTGTGTACACATATTATATGTATTTTTGAATATGTTTCACTATACGAGTAAAAATCCAGAAATTTTGGAACGGAATAAACTTGTTAAGCGAGGTTCCATTGTATTTTTATAAATGTCATGGAACCAATTACATTTAAACTTTCAAATGTAATTGGTTAATTGTGGTTTCATTTCAGTTAGACCTATACTTAATTTAATGAAAATAATTATTATTTTGCGAAGAATTTTCTATAAATAGTTCAAAATTAAGTAGTGTATTCTTTTAGTTTCCTGTATAGATTCGCGTATTTGTTTTGAGATTTAGATTTTATTATAATTAGTCAACATATTCGAAATAAAATAAAATAAAAAATGTTATTAATAAATCTTAAATTTCTGCGTATAAATTATTCAAATTGTGTATATTCTTTTATGGATTATTGCCACACTAATTGCTAATTCTTTTCTAGTTCATATTTTGGCAAATCAAGGTCGTCTCGAGTCTTGTTCCTTTATCGATAATAAATTATTCGATCAAAAACAATCGGAGCACGGTGGGTTTGACCAACGTTCCAGGCAACAATACTTCGAATCTGATCAGTGGCCACAGGATTAGAGACACCTTAGTCTGGGCTCCGAATTTCTTGAAATGCGGTAAAACAAACTGTCTCAAAACAAAACTTATGTTAGACAAATAATGATTTTTTTTTCAGGTATCACCTTCACAATATTTACGTACGACGGGCTATTTCGTTTCGGATTACTGGTAGACAAAGAGATCATAAAGAATAGATCGGAAGTGCAGGAAATTTGCGATAACATTTTCAAATACATCGATCTCTTAGACACGATGACCAAGGCATATGATGAAAATTAAATTCAATTGCTATATTATTAAAGATTGTTATGTGTTATTAGATCCGATATTTTTTTTGTTAGTTTAAAATGTTTTGGTAACATTATTATTTTTTTTTACATTTTTTTTCTTTATCTAGAACTGATAATTGATAATTGAAATCTTTAGTCAACTTTTTTATTTGTTTTTAGTTATATCAAGTTACAAATCCAGGTAAAGGATTAAAATATTGAACTTTATTTATACATTGTTTTTATACCTAAAAAGATCTTTAAAATTCGTAAGTTGTTTCAACGTAATATGGTAAGTACAATAATCATATTTTTGTTTCTAATCAATATGGAAAATTAACTTTAGTATTAGTGTAATTAAATAATCTTATTTTGTGATCATTTTTATTTAATATATACAGCACAAATTGAATTAACTGTTGCGATTAATTATGCATATAGTTTATAACAACTATTGAATAATTAAAAATACAAGAGACAAGGTCTTAAATGAATGAGCAAAACGTGACACATTATTGCATAATATGTGGATTATTACTAAATTATTATTTTTTTAATTATATTTTTTAACTATTCATGCTATTATTTATTCAATCACAGTTGTATCTTGTCCTTCTATGCTTCGAGCTAAGCCTTTGTTTGTAAAAACAATTGATTTATCAAAACATATTGCATAAAGTAGTTATGCAAAATGCAAAACAGCTCGTAAACTTCTTGTGCGCACGTTCAAGTAAAAATATCAGATGGAAGTAATATCTTCGAATTCGATTTTAATCTTAAATTTATAATAACATTATCAGTAGACATAAAAAAAAATACAAATCATTCTAATTAAAATTAATTATAAAAATGTTATTACCATAAAAATGTTATTGTAGAAATTTATAATAGTAAAAGACACTGTCGGGATTTCGATATAGTCGGGATTTTGATTGTCGGGATTATGGTAGTCGGGATTTTCACATAGCTGGCATTTCGATATAGTCGGGATTTGGAACGTCGGGTTTTTGAGCCAGTCGGAATTTCGGTTGTCGGGGTTGCGATGTAGACCCCTATAAAAGATTATTCGAAATATAAGTTTTCAGTGCGGGATTTCGATAAAGTCGGGATTTTGATTGTTGGGATTATGTTAGTCAGGATTTTGACAAAGCCGGCATTTCGATATAGTCGGGATTTGAAAATTCTGAATTTTGAAACAGCCGGAATTTCGAAAGTCGAGATTTTCATAGTCGGGATTTCGGTTGTCGGGCTTGCGATATAGACCCCTATAAAATATTATTCAAAATATAAGTTTTTAGTGCGGGATTTCGATATAGTCGGGATTATGGTAGTCAGGATTTTGACATAGCCGGCATTTCGATATAGTCGGGATTTGGAACGTCGGAATTTTGAGCCAGCCGGAATTTCGAAAGTCGGGATTTGGATTGTCGGGCTTGCGTTTGCCACCGCTTTTATATATATATAATTTTTTTTACATTAATCAAAATATCTATGATATTAAAATAAATATCTTTTTCTTGGTTATATCTAGTAATCTTTTACATATTTATGTTCATATTTTCGCAACTATTATTCATTAATTAATAAATCAAAAATTGTTTTTCATTTACCGGAATTCGTTTTTTTTAAATAAGAGATTGTTAATTTTTAACTGAAATTATTCAGATGTTTATTTTCGTATTTCTTAGATCGTTTTCCAATTTACAAAAGTTCAACAGATAATCCATGATGAATTTGAAGAATATTATTATAAAAGCTTAAAAAACCAATAACAACGATCAAGACATCGATGGATAGGTTGAAGTGTTCTAAAAATTGATCTGTTTGGTAAGTAAGTTACTTTATCAATTTCATTGATTTTGACATATTAATATTATACAATTTTGGAAATTTAATAATAATAATAAACATTAATATTATCCACAAATTCACAAGAAATAATAATTCTAAAAAAAAGGAAAGACAAAACTAAAAAAAAAATAGGAAAAAACTCTAAGTAAAGAAATAAATAATTAATAAATTTCAAAATTAAAATCATTTGTAAAGATAATAATAATGATAGTAAACCAAATAATAAAAAGAAAACTTGACAAAACATATAATCATTGAAATAGTTGCTATAAAATTTTCATAGAATGAACGACTTTTTAAATTATTAATGATGATACAAAATAGTAGTTCTTAGTTTTATATTCAACAAATAGATTTTGCTTATTTATACTTCTCTTCGTGTAAGGTCAAATGCAAAGTAAATAAAGGCATCACCGAATAAATAATATAAGAATTGTAAATATTTTTAACTGCAACTGATATTACAGTTATCAATATTGTTTACTGAACAGTTTGTTTATATATAAAAAACAAATGATCATGTTTCAAGTTTAATATCCAATTGTAAATTCCAGTTCAAATTTTGGCAAACCAGTCCTGTTGACATTGATCTATTTATCTATAACATCATGTCAGCACATACATGATTTTGATACTCATTAGTAAACGATTTTCATTGTAATACGATGTGTGTTTTCGGATTGGTGAACAAAGTGTTAAGAACAAAACCTTGTATATAATTTCTAACACTGTTTTCAAGTAATAACATCAAATTACTTGTACATAATTGGTACTAAATAGATTATTACATTTAATTGCAAAGTCAAGCTTAAATTAAATTAATGAGGAATCAAATAGAACTGTTCTCACTATCATTTAATTCGTTAAAAAAAATGTCTCGAATTGTATTCTTTATCGAGAACTGATAGTGGCTCGACGATAAACAGTACAGACAGTGCGTGGATATTGTCGAGGGTCTTCAGTCATAATCTAATTATGTAGAGAGCGTGGAGCCAACACGATCAGTATGGTAGCGAAAATGAAACGAGAAGTAATGAATCTTACAAAAATCCATTTCGAGACTATTAATAGCAACGAAAATAACTGTTCTCCAATACAACTAATTCTATGTTTAATTATCATACTAACTTTTAAGGTAAGATCGCAAAGAACACAAATAAAAGCTTTTTCTCTCTTGTTTTAGGCTCCGACAAAGCCAAAATGTTACCCAATTCTCTTCATATTCTACGCAATTGTTATGATTGCAACCTTTCCTATTATATTCATGATACTAGCTCTATTTTGGTTGTACAAAAAGTTGATTTGTCTTATACTATTTACAAAATTACGTTTTAAATTTGGAGGCATGTTGAGTGGACATGACACTTTCTGGACGCTCAAAGACCCATCCAATCCAATAATCCACATCCTCTTATACATCAATTATAAATCCAAAGAAAACTTACGAGATGTTTTCTTGAAAGCTTTGCAAAAGAAACTCACGGACGCTGAATCACACAAAAAATTCTTTGCCACAATTTCCAAATGTAGCGGATACCCATACTTAATCAAGAACCAAATAAACATCGATGATTGTATCCACGTAATGCCATATGATGAATATAAAGATGAGGAAAGTCTGAGGGAGAATTTACGCCAATTTCGGTATCCGAGCAGCGGAGGTTTATGGGAATTTTCCGTCGGATGCGAACCTATCAATTGGGGCGAAAGAAGAAACTGTTTCCCTGTCGTAGTGCGATTCCATCACGCAATTGGAGATGGATTCGCTTTGTTACAAATGTTACTAAACTTCTTTGAAGAAAAAGAAATCCAAGATGTTCGCATAGAAGACGATTGTACTTTCGTTCAAAACATGATCAAAACCTCAATACGCTGCATGCATTTCTGCGTTTTACTTTATAATTTACCTCAGGTGATGGTGCGGAGAGCATTTCACAAGAACGATGTGAATTGCATCCACGGTGGTGATATAAGCGGCGAGAAAGAAATAGTTTGGAGGAACGAAGTTAACGCGAAATACGTGAAAATAGTTAAAGAACTGAAGAAACGCTTGCCGGGAACTTCTTTTTTCGATATAGTCTCTTCGGCTATTTCAAATTCAATTACAAGACTACAAGAAAAAGTATTTCTTTAACTTAATATAAACAACTCAATAATTTGATATATTTTTTTTTTAGAAAAAAAATGGAGCCAATATGTTTTCTTGTGTCATCCCTGCGGTGCCTAATGCATTGCAATTCAGCAGTCTGAAGAAGAGTAGAAGCATCAATTTGGAGAATAGGTTTGCCGTTGGCGTTTTAGATTTACCATCGGAGACTTTCGATAGTTGCAAAGATCGTTTGGAGTATGTCAAGAAGTGGACGTTCCAGTTAAAAACTTCATTCGAATTTCAGGTTGTCAATTCTTCAGTTAATTAAATATAACTTACACAATGTTGTTGCAGATTAACTCTTGGATATTGGATGCAATTGGATTATTACCGGAATGCATTGTTGCTCCAATCATACAATCTGCTCAATCTACCATGGTTATAAGTAATTTACCAGGACCTAGTAGAATCAATTTGTTTGGAGATAATGTGCTTGATGATATTATATTTTGGATTCCTCATCGTGGATTAACAGGTTTGCAAAAATTTAAAACTATACAAATTAATTGAAATTAAAGCTTAATATGACTAATGATATTTTAGGTGTTGGCGTTTCGATATTATCGTATGATCAAAGATTTTCTTTAGGTCTGAGCGTGGATAAAAGCTTTAACATATCGAGGAAGGAAATGCAAACAGTTTTGGACGATATATTCCGATATTTAGATGAACTATATACGGAAACCTCTAGTATTTAAAACAATAAATTTGTTGTTTCTGGTTTCCAAAATCTCAGGTTCGTTTAAAGCTATATTTTCTTTATTGCAATCTTTAATTTAACATATTTAACTTTAGGCTGGGAAACCTGAAAAGTAAATAAATACAAAAGAAAATAATTTTAATTAGTCTTCATCTTCTTCTTTTCCATATCTTCTTCACTTTCAGTGACGATTAGAATCAGTCCGAGGAGGACGAGTCCTGCACCTGCCCACCAAATTAGTGATGTAACCTCGCCGAAAATTAAGAAACCGGAAATTGCCTGAGAACAGAACACGTTTATTGTTTCTTTCCTACCGGATGTTTACTTATAACTTACCGATAACAAATAATTAGTTGCAGCGCTCGTAACAGTCGCCGAAAGCGAAGAATTAGAAGCTTGCAGAGCTTTCACGTAAAACGTCCAAACTGCTGCGTTACATGCTAACATCAAAGAGAAAAACAGGATCCGAACAGCGATCACGTCCTGAAACGATAAAACAATTCGCTGATATCGTTCTGCATACTTTCGCTTTAAATCTATTAAGTATTCAAATCGATCTGGATGCAATTAAAAGAAGTCGTGCTTTCTAATAATTAGTTATTATTCAAGGATTTTTGTGAAGGTTTATAATAATTGCGTTTATTGCCGTACCGATACGCGACAAAGACGAGATTCCCATGATTACGTATTCTTTTGCATGTATCTCTCCCTTTTACGCAAAACGAATGCCTTCATTTTTTATTCATTATTTCGCACTATTTATGAATACAATGCATTGTAATTCATTTGCATACACAATTCAACAAATTTGCACGCAACTAACGTATAAATAGAAATTAACGGGTAATTATGATCAGGTTGTGCGAATGATGTAATTCAGAAAAAAACAAATTATTTTTAGTTTTCTTAAATGATAATAATTATTAGTTATAATAGCATCAGTATAAAACTGATTATTACAACCTTGTAATACGGCATTTCCGTGGTTCGTCTATATTTTTTTTGTTCGCACATTAAACTAATGCGATTTATGTTTAATCTGATGAGAGAACTCGTGATTTGCTCCGTCCAAGGCTATTTCTAAACCCTTTTTATATTTTATCGATTTTATGGATTGGCGCTCTCATTCAAATAACCTCTGCTAATCTATCTTCTTGCGTATGCGATAATAAATGCATTTATCGAACAAAAAGTTAAAGTCGTTCAAGGTAAATATGATAAATCTCTAATTCGAATAACAATGGAAATGTAACTAACTAATTTATTCCTTTATAATACTTATTTAATAGTGCACAGTCAATTTTAGAAAGTGAATTATCGACTATTTAAACCACAATGACTATACTTTATATTCAATTATTATACTTGTTCAGATAATCAATATGCAGTAACAGTATAAAATAGTGTCAGATAAAACAATATTAATTTAATTTAAATTGATTAAATATTTGGTATATTGTTTCAAAATGATAATTAGAAATATTAAAAACACAGTGGAACTTCGCTTAACGAGCACCTCGCATAACGAGCATTTCGCTTAACGAGCAAAATTAATTGTACGAAAAATGACTCGCTTAACGAGCGACGTTTCGCATAACGAGTGACGATGAGAAGGAAGTTCCAATTGCTACATCATTTGCTACATCATTTTTAAAACTTGTATACACATATGTGTATTTTTATAATATTGTTCCACTGTAAATCAAATGAAGTAAATTTTAGTGAAATTTACTTTGACATTAATCGTTTAATTAATAATAATTGTCTTCCTATAGATTTACGAACGTAAAGGTGATTATTTTAAAGTAATTAGAAATTAATAAAATTATCTCAAGAACTTTTTTCTGAATATAATTTAAGAAATAAAAAATATTCAAAAGAATCTACAAACGAATTATTTTTACATGTATAATATTATGTAAAGAAAATCGTTTGATTAATAAATCATGTTGTTGTCATCGTTATCTTGCGTATTTCTTTTAATTTGCTGTTTTTTAAATTTATCTTATTGCTTGACGTAGAAGAAATAATAATAGAACGTCGTAATATATAAATATTAGGTAAGTCGACTATAATTAATATACATTTATGTAACAGATATTCTTTCAGTAATTTTTGTTGTTGTTAAATTTGAGTACGCATTATACCAATGAAATTATCTATTTTCTTGTAAAAGACGCAACCTTTTGATTGGTAATATTCAATTTTATATCGTTTTTCTTTCTATCAAAATGTGAATATTTTATATCATAAAAGTTTCAATGTGTAAAACGGAATGCAACCACTTTAACAAATGCATTTCCTACAAGTTTCTTGACCGGAGTAGTTCTTTCAATTCCCATTCGATTCGACCTCATTCTCTGCTGAATTTAAAAATGTGTTAGTTATAGCAATCCATTCAAGGGAATAGTTGCGACTTTGAATGCACTACATCTAAGGTCGAAATTGAAACACGTCGAACATTAATCGAAAAATGCACACCATTCACATACAAGGAAATGCAAATATAATTTAATACAAATAATTGTATAAGTTGTATAGTTGTTATCTAGTAGTATTAATTATGGATGTAACATAATAAAATATTTTTATCGAAGATTGATGTGAGAAGGTATTGTTGTACTATTTTGTTTTTGTCATGGCTCTATTGTAGGTTGAAACAATAAATATATTATTAAGTAATCGGTTTGTGGGTTAACCTGATTTGCCAAATCCGGATCATTATTTGCTACCCACCCACGAAACACATCGATGAAGAGAAAAAAAGTAATATATAATAATACTTTTTTAACACATTTATCGTTCGTGTAAAAAATAAATCGTATTATAAAAAAACAGTCGCCCTGTTTCCAATTTTATAAATGGAACAAACTTATCGAGAAAAACTTTAAGTTTCTTTTTTATATAAAGCCAAATTGAATTTAGAGAGGACGACCGTTCTGGGAGGGAATGTATTTCCCAAATAGGGGATTGCCGGTTCTACCCCAAAGGAATATACGTTTCTCACCCCTAGCGTTTGTTTAGAACATAACTTGATTATATAATATATATATATACAAAAAAAACTGGACAGTTTCTTTTCAAGGTGTATTTTAACATTGGAACGATTCTTTATTTTTCTTAATCCACTTTAACGGTTCATGTTCATAATATAATTACAAAACTAAACGTTTTTTCTCATAATAAAGAAATCCTTTGTTTTCAGTGTACTAAATAATAATATTATTATTCAAAATATATCATTCCCATGTGTACATTTTGTGTAATAAATTTAAAGATTATTTATAAAAACCGTAAGAATAATAATCAATAAACTTTTATAAATGCAAATTTAATAGTAAAATACACTAGTTTTACAATTTAAATCTTCAAATTAAAGGAAAATTCTGATTGATAAATATACTATTAATCTTTAAATTAATTGACAAGATTTTGTATAATTATCAAATATTATTNAAACCACTAGATTTAGTATATAGATTTAAGTAATTATTAATGTGGCGGTTCCCATAATCAGCTATGAATGTTATATATGGTTTATCTGCAAATCCTTTTATGAAATGTGATGAAAATATTATAATAAGCATTTGATGTTGATGTTTAAATTGATCAATATGAAAATAAAAATTGTTATTAAGTTATGTTAGTATTATATAATTGTACAATCAAATAATCATCACATATTCAATTCGATGCGGTTTTGTAATTAGCAAAGCCTATCAAATTAATTTCATCGACGTTCGCTTTTACGAAATATAATTAATCAAATTATTTGCTGATTATCTGCAAAATGTTTAAATTAATTATAGTTGTAATTAGCACTGTTTTATCATATTCAGAGTTTATACGTTCCAAAATTTCCGGATTTTTACTCGTATAGTGAAACATAGAGCATCAATTTTTATAAAACATGGAAATAAAAATAAACTGGTCAATTGTTTATGCTCTCTCCTATTAATATATCAACACATATTCAAATTATGCATCAAATTATGTATATCATTTCCGTTCCTACATAATTTATTACTTGATTATAGTTGTATGTAGCACTAGATTGGACTGGTCTTTGAAGTCATTTTGAAGTTCGTGTTGTTTCTAAAACGTAAATATCAGTTTCTGATTTATACAAAATTCAAGTATGTATTGGTAGTAATGAAACCTAAAAAAAATGTATGTCAATATAAATTTAAAAACGAGAAATTGAGGAATATCAATAAATATTAAAATTATTGCGAATAGAAAGATATTGGTATAGGAACGATTGAAGTTATTAGAGTTAAAATTAGTGGAATTAAAGTTTCATAAAATGATGCTAAAAATAAATACAGTTAAATAAACTTGTAGTTGTTTAAAATCTACAAATACAGCAATACCTTGCATATTGAAGCTTCGTTAAATCCGAATTCACTATAGTCCAGTTTAAAAATTACAAAACAAAGTAAATATTATTCTTGGTATAAAAATGATAGTTTTTTTTTCTCTTTTTGTGCGGTTTACTTTTGTATGTATTTAGTTGCTCGATTAGTCCGGTTTCAAACAATCCGGGATATAGCGAAACCAATATTCTGCCAGGTATTGCTGTATAGATAAGATGCTCATCAAATGCCAGTTGAGGAGTTGAATTAAAATCTTCAAATTGTCAAATATTGTGAATAGAAGATGTATGGTTTCCTCTTATATAATGAAGCATAAATGATTTTCCTTTTGTTTAATACATGATGTTATGGTATTGTATTCTGTAAAAATAGTAAGATTCAAGTAATATTTGTAATTTAATTAGGTGGTTGTTCTTGGAACTACTGTTCCAATTTACCTGGAATGTAGGCAACCCGGAGAGCTTTCCGAACATGCTGGCTGCCGAGGCACAGATACCAGAGACGATGGCAAAATGTCTGTTATCCATTGGTATCAATCTCCAAATAATGCGATAAATCCGGTAATCCTTTGATCACGAAGGGGTCCAGAATCCAGCGGAATGCACACGAGGAGCCTCAGGGCAGGTTGTTTTCTAATTGCTTTTCGAACGTTCAAATGTCATCGAAATGAGATTCCCCTCCACGAGAGGGAAAAGGCTTAATTATTCTACGTCGAGTCTCACTCACGTGGAATTACTGCCTTAGCGGATATATATACCAAATCTACGAAAGCCGTCGTCGCGCTGCATGTAGACGGCGATACTGGAAAGCATTCCCTACGGTTTTCCCGGCGCAGCGACTCCTCGTGTGTGAAATATCGGTGCTCCTCGCTCGGCAGCGGCGGAAGGAAAAAAGTTTTTTTTCTGTTATTGTTCCCCCCTTCCGTCGGCAGAAGTTTTAGCTTCGTCCCCGATGCGGTTTTTCGGTTTTGAAGGCGGCTGCGCTCCAGGTAAACCGACGGCATTTCGTGTCGAGCGGCAGAACTTGAACAGGTAAATCAAGTTTACCTAGTAAAGTAAGAGAATGTAAACTAAAATGCGCTGGAGCTTATCCGGAAACCGTTCGGTGCGAATTTCTGCGATGCGAAAATAAATAACACAACGGCAACGACGAGGAGAGGAAGGAAAGAGGAGTCCGACGATATCCTCCAGCGAAACAAGCAGAAAATAATAGGAAACAACGAACGGAAAAGAGCAACGGAAACGGTTAACAGGAGGGAAAGAGTGGACGCAACTGGAGGAAGGAAGAGATGTGGAGGAATTACTACTTACCAGACCGGCTGTGATAGAGAAGAAGGAAAAGTTCGGTGTGATAACGGACAGTTTTTCATCTCGCGTTCGGAATTCGTTATAAGTGGAAATTATTACAACAAAAATGCGGTTAACCTGTTTAGAGAGGTGAGAGTCTGTTAGAGCAGTCACAGTTCTTTCTATTTTACTTTTAATACATGTATTTAGATTCATTTGCAGTCCTTATTTTTACACAGTTGCGTGGATTAGATCTCTCCTAATCCACAGGTAGTTTTGCTTTCCAATTCGCACAAAAACCAAATGTAAATTCGCTCCTTTTCCCCAGAACCATCAACATCATCGCACTTTTGGAGGACTTTTTACATTCATTCTACATATACTTTTTTTTACGAGAACAGACATGTATATCCAGTTCAAGGGCTTCTCTTTGTTTTTGCAACAAATCAAATTACAAGCCAAGCGAAACATCATCATCATCGCACGGGATGTAATGAACTGCATTTATTTATATCCAGATTCGTGCTATTTTTAGTTACACGTCTAATTGCATAATGCCAAGGCGAGATTACGTATTTATTCAAGCAGAAAATCAATCCTTTCAATTTTATCTGTATATGTATATATATCTATGCATTTGGTTATTCGGTTTAAACGACTTAATTTCTACTTATCAGTTATTTACTCGCACAACATTCCGCTCGTAAACAGTCTAATAGGTTTATAACTACCGTCTTCTGTTGTTTATTTATACCCACGGTCTTCCCTAATAATTTTGTTGTGCAATCTGTGAGCATCGATCAATGCGTGAAACAACAAAACGCGACCGTTCATAGCATTTTAGGTAATAATTAAAAGCTGCGGCACGGTGGCTGTCGCAGTAATTTTAATTCGGAATGTGCATATCGTAACTTTTGCAGTTTTTGGTGGGCGAAATTCTCAATTTAATATAAACAACGGGATTAACGTTAATGTTAATTAAAACAATTTGTATGGGAGTGTATGTGTATGGGATTATGCATTTAACTCCGATAATCCTTTGTTTGCGAATACAAAACTATTCCCTTGATTCATTCGTTATGTTCAACATTCCATGTTTGAATGAAGAATGCACTATATCACACATTCTCGTATTATTAATTTCGATCGTGTTGTGATATTGTTATGAAACTGTAAATTATTTAATTAAATTTGTATAAAATACAGAAAAACTTTATTAAAAATTAATATTTAAACACAAAAACACGAACATTTTCATCTTTACTTTATATCATATTTATTTAGAAACTATTCTTATTAACTCGCGGTTGACAATTGTAGGAAATCGCTCGATGGTAATTTCCCACAGTTACATAATAAAAATGCATTGTGCAGGTGTTAAACAAAACTTGAAAGTGTAGCCAATGCTTGAAATATATATTATAGTCCTTGGGTTAAACTTTTGTCAAGTAAATTTATGTCTCGATCATCGTTGTCGCTTCTTCCACTTTTCCCGTTTGGTAGACCTTCTCCGTTCTTTTGTTTGCTTTTTACCATTCAACATCAATGCCATTTCTTAGGTTTTTTGAACCTTAAAATAGAAATATATTCACAATTTTGTGTCACAACATTTATAATGACATACATTCAAAGTTTAATATTTAATTTATGGAATATTATAATTATATAACTATTATTTTAAATGATTATCGAAAATTGACAAAAAAAATAAGTATTTATTTTAATAACATAATTACCACAGAACTTCCACTTATAATATGCAACGAAAACATACTTTTTAACGATGTTTTTCAACTAAAAATAAACCATAAATTTATTTATTTTCAATTTTTTTTCATGAATAAACCATGATAGTTATTTTGTTTGTATATTCGAATACTGTCACGGTAATAACTTTGCTATCTGGCACTTATGTAAAATAATAATATATGAGTAATAAATTATCAGAAAATCGATTAAATTACGTTACTCAAATAAAAAATTGTGAATTAAGTTTTATCATTAAATATTATAAAATGTGCGTATCTTTTAAAGTACGTCTATAAATTTTGTAACGAAATCCCTTTTATATTAGTTTTATTAATAATTTAACATAAATTATGGCCTAATAAATATTATTTTAAAATGGACGTTTTACGTTTAAAGAAAGATGAATGAGAATTTGCTCGAGTCTTAATACCATATTCAAATTTCGATTATTCTTTGATATTTTCATAATAAAGGTAGGAATATCATAATTCAATTGATATCTCATAATTTAGAGTTAATTTAATTATTGTTCTCATTGAAATAATACCACATACATTTTCCTCCTAATAATGATTTTTTTTTAAAAACGCCTACTATTTTTATATACCATTAAGTTAAATGCGAAATGATTAAAGTCAGATATTTTTCTTCCTATATAATTTAATCATAAAATTTAAATTATTAATAATGTTTCTATTGTATTGTTTACGATCAAATTCATTAATAATTAATCAATTATTAACTTAAAATATCATAAATTTATTGTACTTCTTTGTCAATAAGTATATATTGAGAATATAGAATAATATAATGAAACTCCCAAAAGTACTGTTCTAGTTGAATATATTAATAATATTTCTTTATTACTACATAAACTCTATACTTTTAATTAATTAAAATCTGTGTTATTTATACTGCTAATTATTTTGTATCACATGAAATGTATGTTTAAATATTACACTAAAAAAATAATGAGAATAGTTTGTACGTAGAAGGTGTTATATTTGTGATGCCATAAAAGGTGTAATATTCGATCTAAATGACATCATTGCAGTTTCTAAGCAGCGAAGCGGTAAATCTTCAACTTTCAAAATAAACTTGTACAGACAGCAAAGCAGTACAATGTGAGGAAAGGTAGAAAAAGAAGCGCCAGGTATACAATACAGAAAAAATGAGATGGAAGAAGCATTGTGTCGTGTGGAGCCAGTTGGTTGAGAATCTAATAAAGGTTTTGTCGATACTAATTCAAATATGTTTCTTTGCTCTATTTAAGTGCGTAAAAAGCAGAATATTGGAAAAAAGAACCTTGAAGTATAATGTATTTTATAGGAAGGTTTATCAAGTATTTATTATTGTTATAAGCAATAATACTAAAGTTAAGTAACGACGGTTACAGAAATAATTAGGGTGTGTCATTGATACACTTTGCAAATATACTATAATATTAAGACATCTTATAACATACAGTTTACTTGACTTTGCTCGAAGACCTCTTAAAATTAATACAACATTTAGTTTAATATAAACTAAGAATTGTTAAATTTATATGCTGTTATTTCTATTTATATATATATAAAATAGACTTTGAATTATAAGTTATCTGGTCTGGTAGAAATACTGTAGTTTCTACCTATTACATACTTATTAAGCATTGAATATACCGTAAGAAATGAGGTCGATGCGATTAGTTGAAACTTAATTGTTAAATAAAACCGTCTCAATGTATATAATAAATAAAAACAGTCTTTCTAAACATTCAGTTTTGCAAATAAGCCCCAGTCTATGAAATTTCCCCACGAAACAAAGAGAAATGAAAAGAAAACAACAAGAGCAAAAACAACAACAAAAACCAACAAAGTTCCTGAGAATCCTTCCACAAACGCACACACGTCTATAATTAACAAGTATTTAGGTTGAATGAAAGTTTAAGTAAATTAGTTGCACGATACAAAAAAAAAATATAATTCCGTTCCATTACGAGCCAACTCATGCCTGTATATTTTAATCTTCTATTTATCAGAAAGGAAGGAATGATTAAGCGCGAATGAGTAATTTGTTTAATTTCAAGTAAAAATAATAAAAAAATACGTATAAAAGAAAAACATAGCAGAAATGTTACAGACGTCATTAAAGTTAACGCTTCTAATGAACACGGTTTACGTCCGTAAAACTGGTTTCATTCCGTCCGATAACATATTTATATTTGTATTTCGGTGCGGAATTATTCCGGCTTCGATGCATAATTCATGGCTTTATTTATGCGACAACGGTGATTCGGGCAAAACCTGAGATACGTCCCAAATATTTCCACGGTAATTGATTAGTTTACTTATATTTTTTTTGTTACTGATGGATAAGGATGAATGCAAACATGGAAAATTCTTGTGTTTGATAAAGGAAAGGGGTGTTCTGGACTTGAATTATTTATGGTGTGATTCATGTGATTTTTTTTAATAGGATGTTATGAATTTGAGATTAGATTGGGTTCGCGTTAAGGACACTAATTGGTTCTTTCATTTGTGATAACCAAAGTTAACA